ACCTTTTTATCTCCAACGCGCAGAACTGTGTATCAGAAATTCTAAAGATAGGCTCATTTTAAAATTATTTTGCGACATTACTATTGAACTTAAATTTATGGTTTAAGTGCGAAGAACATGATATTTAATAAATAAAGGTAACACACAAAACGTTAAAAAAACGCCCCTTTGGACATAACTTAAAATCTAAAACCTTTCAAATTTTTTTCCCCATTTTTACTTCCTTTTACGAAATAAAAAGGAAGTATTGTAATCGCGAAAAGTTTCAGGAAGCATATTTCAACGAAAATACCAATTTTGACCGCTATCGAATGCAATTTAACGATGTTTTTGCGTGATATCTGTACGTAAGGACAGAATAAAATACTCTTTTCCTTCAAAAAAATTATAAAACGGCTTTAAAATTAATTCTGAAGAGAATTTTTCGTGGCGTCTGTACGAACGTATCTCGCATAAGTCAAAAACGAGTAGCCTCAGGACGTTGAAATTTTGTATATAGGACTGTTATAACATGTAGATGTGCACCTCGTATTTTGGTTGCAATCGGCCGCACCAAACGTATATAAATATATATATCCACTCTGTTACCCGGCTCAGTGATCTCAGTTTCTTTACTCTATATGTTTGTAAATTGTACATTTTTTGCTTTTAAAATGATTGTATTATGTTGTTTTTTATCTTCCGGTTAAGGATTTTATGCCTTAGTAAATCTGCGTGCAATATTTTTAGAATTATCAGCAATTTTAAAGTTGTTTAATTGCCGCTAATCCTGTTTTAATGGCGGCCATTGGTTTACATTTGAAACAGGAGACTAGTGGATTTGTTGCCAATCTAGAGAACTTAGCTTCCAACAACAAAGATAACGCATTCATTTATTATTGCCAATTAAATCTTCTGGAATAATTCTTTTCTGGAATTTTTTCGAGGAATAAGTGTTTAAGATTTACATCATAATTTTCAATACAGATATTTTGAGTTTTTATGTATTTTGCCTTCTCGCGAAGTGAAAACTGGAATTAATCGAATGAGAAATACTGAATTCGTCTGTGGAAAAATTGTTTCATTTTTTTTTTTTGTTTGCTTAATTTCTTAATTGTTATACATCATTTTAAGCTTTATTATTAGTATTTGAATAGAACATGTGGCAACGATTATAATTATTATTCTTTAAATGATATAAATTTTGTGCATTATGAGTTATAATATGAACGGTAAGTTAACTATTATATAATTATTGGATTATATAACAGTTAGCTTAGTTTCCGTTATATAATTATAATATAAGTTAACTGTTATTATTAATACTGTTAAGTGAATCTAGCGCCAGAGTGTCGCTATGGTAAACAAATACTAGAGTGAATTTTAAAGAACGCATTTATTCTATTGTGGTTTATGCGCTGTCGGCGAAGTAGATTTAATTCAATCCAATAAGTTTAAATGAAATGCAAGAAAAAATGCGTATAACTTAATATTCCGTACAAGGAAGTCATGTGGTGTAGACATCAGATTTTTTTTCTCAAGATCAGACTATGATTTTTCCATTTGTTTAGCCCCCAGCGCTGTAATGAGGATGCCACAAAAAATTTAAAATGCATTTGGTTTTTATGATTTTTATTTCATTGATTTTTCTTAAAATATTATCTAAAAGTAACATAATTTAATAACATTTTAGATAAATGATTGTTTATCTAAAATTAACTTTCTCTGTTTTATTTTGTTTATTTTTCTTAAATGTTTAAATTAGTTCATCTCTTATTCGGATTTCTGCAGTGGTTTATTCACGTCCTTTTTAATCTTAAGTTGGAGTTTCAATGAAATATGGTTTAAAAAAATGTTTACTGTTTATTATTATTAGGAGTAGTATTCTACACAATAAGATGTAGAAATACTGTATTGTCTCTCTTCTTAAATAAAATAAGTACTGTTGTTGAATTATCAAAATTAATTTTTGCGATTGAATAAAAGTGAGACTCAATCCCAAAAAAAATTTGCATTCCTAAAAACTCATTTTTTTAATCATTAGCTCTAAGGAGCGTTAGCCCATAAGGGCTATTAGCCTCAAAATGGCATTGTTAGTTGAATCGCTTAAGCATTGTATCACTTTTTAAATTGTTGCCACCAAATATTATCGACCTGCATTAGATTTAAAGAATTAAATAATGAAGAATATCCATGAATGTATGCATTTTTCACATTGTGAGAAAACAACGGTATCGAGAGCCATCACATTTTGAATAGCGTAGTCCTGCACCCGAATACTATGAGCCCTTGGTAGTTCCAATTTGGAATTTGTTTTATTGTCTATTTCAAATTTCGTAGAACCTTAACGAATTTTTGAGTAACAAACTCAACGATTTCAAAACGAGCAATGGCAACATTGTACGGAAAAAAACACTTTTATCTCCAGCGCGCGAGACTATCTATCGGAAATTCTAAAGATATGCTGTTTTAAAATATTTTTAGCCCAAAGGGATATTAGCCTAAATGCTTTCGAGACGTGTATATGTGTGTAAATTAAAAAATTCCCGTTTGGGAGCAACATAAAATCTGAAAGCTTTTCAGATTTTTTTCTAATTTTTATTTTCATTTTACCTTACTTTATTTTTTAATACAAAATAGTGGCTATTGGAGGCTACGAAAATGTAAAAAAAAAAAAAAAAAAAAAAAAAAAAAAGCTAATTGCAGTATGAAAAAGAAAAAAAAAAAATCTGAAAGGTTTCCGATTTTAACAATCGCCCAAAATGATTTGCTGGATTCTTCTCTTATGGGGACCGGATTCAGAAATATATGCATGCATGCATATGTATGGATGTATATGTTCATGCATGTATGCATATATGTACGTACTATGTATGTGAGAGTGTACAAGCACATATACGCATATACGCGAATGCATTTTTTATTCCGGGCCTGATAACAGAAGAGTACCAGGTTTGCTAAGGTTTTTTGAGCTCTCGCTAAGCTCGCAGTCTACCAGTCTGCAATTATATTCACTCCTACTAACCTTTTTTTTTTTTTTTTTTGTTTGTTTAGCTTTATTATTAAGCATCATTTTCTTCACACTTTTGCCATATACAATTCAATAGCAAAATTACAAAAATTTCAACAGCAGCATAGCAGTATACGTTTAGAACTCCCAATGTAGTGTTAAGTGTTGGTATAAACATTTTTCTGCTTTTTTCAGTCTTTTTTCAATTTATCGTATAATTGTTTAGTTTTTTTACTAAAATCGCTTTAAAAAAACTTTTTTGTTTTTTTATTATTAATGTCTTGTGAGTTTACTTTAATTATTAAATATCACGTTCTTGACGCTACATAATATTTGATTCAACCGCAAAATCACAAAGTATTTAAAAACAGCACATCTTTAGAGTTTTCGGCAGATAGGTTCACGAGCTTCAGATAATTTTTTTTTTTTTCGTGTAGTGTTGCCACTGCTCGCTTTGAAATCGTTGTGTTTCTTAATCAAAATTTTGTTAAAGTTTTACAAAATATGAAATCGATAATAAAACAAATTTCAAATTTCGAATTTGAACTCTCAGATGCCCATATTCGCATGAGAATTACGTTATCCAAAATTTGATGGCTCTGGGTACCGTTGTTTTATCACAATGCGAGAAACATGCATACATTTATGTTTCATTATTTAATTTCTTTAAATATAATACAGGGAGATAATATTTGGTAGTAACAATTTGAAAAGTGTTACAATGCATTTAAGGGTTTCGATGCAAATTATCCCATTTTGGACTGTTCCTTTTGGGCTTAAAAAAAAACATAAATTTTAAACCAGCTGTCGCGAAATACCATCAAAACCATTAAATTCTATTTTTAATGCAAATCATAGAATACGTTCGTGAAGTAGGATTAGAAGTTTTGCAGTAAACGTATTATACACGTATTAGAAACATATTGAATTCTTGGCACTCGTGTTATGAAACAATCTTTGCTTTAACATAGTATGTAAAATATGATAAAAGGATTTTTTAAACAATTAACTCATGCTGTATTGAGCAATGTGTTGTATAATGTTGGAAGTAATGAGCATCTTACATATTATTAACTGACAATAGTTGCTATTTATAGCAGAAATGATTTCGGGAAGGGCAAACAAACAAAAATAAGAATGGAAGTTTTTATCTTAGACATTTAAAATAAGAACAGTAGAACGCAAAACAACGTGACCGCACCCAGCGGTCACCAAGTGGTGAAAAAGGTTCTTGATAAGGTTATCTTTTTGTAAATCTTTCTTGGTAATTATGATTCTTAGAAGAAAACTAAGGACAAATATCGAACGTGCCTAGAGAGCTCAGAGTGCAAACGGAGGGAAAAAGTAATGGCTCAAAAAAGTAGGAACTGTTTTCTTATATTCATGCTTCTTCTCAATTGCATTAATTCATAATATTCTATTAAATGATGTAAATCTGAGAATAAAACAAATCCATTTCTCCTAGATTATAATTTTTTTTTTAGTTCATTTGATTTATTTTTTAACTCATTGAAATTAGAAATGTTTATCCAGAAAGTTCGAGAATGATTCGTTGGCAATATGTCAAAATCTTGTATCTGTAACTGTTTGTAACAGATAACATGTGTGTGCGGTCGGTATAAATATTTAGAGATTTCTGTAATAAAATTAATAATTGATTTATTAAATTAGACAGTTTTTCTAAACAAGTAAGTTAGAATGCTAACTTCTGCACTCAAAATATAAAGTCACATATATATGCATGCTGATTTAACCTGTTTATCTGTAGTTCCTATTAATATCGTTATTCTGTTATCAGCCTATTAAGGGAAAATGAAGGCGCTCATGAATTTAAATGTTGTTTTTTCCATTTAAATTTAATGACACGAATAATTACTATTATATGTAGGCATATTGGAATGAATTCGGCAATAATTTCATTTGATCGTCTCCCTTCTCTTTATGTATTGCAATTTTCACAAACTAGTAATTTTTTGATTGAAATACCAACTTAATAGTTTCTTTTTCTCTCCCTAATCTTGTTAGTGAAAGATCACAGTTAAGAAACTAGTATTTTACAAGAGAGACTTGTTCTCGTTCATATACTTATGATGTGGTTCTATATCCTTGTATCCATTTCATACGTTTGGCGATTGTAAGTAAAATTTTGTATTGAATGTGCATAACATTAGTCTGGACTTTTTTTATACCTTATTTAAAAGCATTTGTTAACTATATTTAAAAACATTTGTAAAATTTATTTGGTAGGCCAACTTTTAATCTTTGTGTTAGTACATAGAAATGATATTTTTTTTTATATGTTTATATAATAAACTATTGTTTAAAATATACTGGATTGTTTTTCCCGCCTTAAAAGTTACTAATGGGAAGCGAGTTGTTGACTTTTTTAAAAAAAGATCGTGAAATTAACGATATTTATCTTAAGTTGACAAACGTTCTAAACATATCTAAAGGAAACATCCTGTAGTAATTTAAAAAATGAATTTGAATCCTTAAATAATTATCATATGACACATTAAATATTATGCGATATACTGCTGTTCTTCTCCCCGTGTGCAAGTTGGGGCTTTTCATTTAAAGAAACAGAATTGTACCGATTAAGCCTTATATATATTAAATGATATATTACTGTTTTTTTCCTTTTTACACAGCAATTTGTTTTTGCTTAAATAAAGCATAAAATTGTATACACACTGTGATTAGTTATAAATAATTAAATTGTAATTATATGTTACATGAAAAATATAATTCTGCATTTACTTTACAATAAATGCAGAACATTAAAATTGTGAGAAAAATGGGTACTTTTTATATCAGCACCCTCCTTTTCCCGAAAAGTTGCCAATTTGTCCATGACTAATTTTCTGCTCAGTTAATGCATGAAGGGCAACAACCATTTGGAAAATGACAGCACCCTAAGAATTCCTTATAATAACAATGAATCAGTAAAATGTAAAAAGCAAGAAACATCTTTAACACTCTTGCTGCATAATTTTTTTTTATCAAAATAGGTTTAAAAATTGCATATTTTTTTATAACACATTTTAAATCTACATATATTTTAGTGTTAAAATATACAAAATTTTTTTATAAACTACTTTTTTAATATAGAATTACATCATTAAGAAAGTTTGGCAGAAAATTGAAATTGAAAAATAATCACATAACAGCAAAATTTTGAAAATTAATCTTGGTTAAAATATGATTTATTTTCTGAAATACAAAGGTAAAACGTATATATTAATGAAAATATGCAAAATACTTACAAAAAATTCATTAGAAATGAAGTTTAGTGTGATAAACTTCAAAGCAAAGCCCTACCTTACAATCATTGCACCAAATTTACATTTCTTTGCCCTTTTTTTTTATTTTTTTTTAACAACGAAGAGTACATTGTGTAGGGTGCTCTTTCTTGATGGGATATGGTGATATATAGCTACCAAACTGTCAAGTGTTAATTTCATGGGATTGAGAGTTGAACTATAAACATCTTTGAGCTTTGAAAAGAGCACATAAAATAGAGCAAAACATGCTTGTATATTTTGCGAAAATATTAATACCAACTGTTAACCCAGATCTGAATAAACAATTAAACATCATAGAACAGCTGAAATAAAACTAAGAGTGAGAAAAGAGCGAGTTGCACAGTTAAATAGATGGAAAAAATGCATCCCCTCGGAAATCGAGGGTAGCACAAATTTTGCTACTTCTATGTAGTCCGTGAAAATTGCAGGATATGCAGTGAGAAAGTTTTTTTTCTAATGTCGATATGTAATTTTGGGGGGTACTCTTCTGTAATCAGGACCAGGTTCAGAAATGTATGTATGTGCATATGTACGTACATGTATACATTTCTTAATCCAGTCCCCGATAGCATAAGAGTATCTTTTTCTGCTGCTGTTGATCTTCCCTTATACTCAGTGATGTGTGTCTGGTTAACAGAATCAGAAAATTGTACATGCTGCTGTACTTCCCATATACACAGTGGTCTGTTTTTCCTGTAAAAAAAAAAAAAATACAAATTTGGCATGTGCATATTGTTCTTTCCATGTATGCAGTGATCTGTTTTTGGTTTTAAAATGCAGAAATTTGGTGTTGTGCCTGCTGTTTTTTTTATATACATAGCAGTTTGTTTTTGCTTAATAAAAAATCGAAGAATTGCACACATTCAATATTGCACATACTTTTGTTCTACCTATGTCACCTGACAAACTCCACAGTCCCATTACAGTTTGTTTAAAAAAAAAAAAAAAAAGAAAGAAAGAAAGAAAGAAAGAAAATGTACACTACTGCAAAAACACTAATGAAAAAAATTACCATCAAACTCTGTAGAAATCCCATTGTGCTGAAATACACTTCTGCTACACGCATACTTGAATTGCCATATAAATGCATTTTGATGATACAGTGCCTTGCCTTGTGAATACTTTCCCCAGGGGTAAGGGTAATCAGAAATGACTGAAAAATATCCCATAACCACTTTCACTCTGGTAATCAAAATAGTAATGTCAGGATAAAATCATAATAACAGAAACAAAAAATAAGATTACTACATCAAGATCATAATCTAACAACAAAATTGTTAAATATGGCATGTCCCCTATACTTCAGTTTAGCTTATTATTTATATATACAGTCAAAAGTCGTTAATCCAGACTAATCGAGACTTCGGCGATTCCGGATTATAGATCATCAGTTTAAATCTGGTAAGATGGCATGCAGAAATTATAAAATTAAAAATATGAAACTGTAATTATGAAATAAGAACAATTATGATATAAAGGTAAAAAAAAAAAAAAAAAAAAAAAAAAAAAAAAAAGCTAATATTTATTTGTTACTTTATTAAACATTCTTTCAATGTAATGTTTCGTTATGCGATAATACTTCTCTTTATTTCTATAAAAACATAATTTCTTGTTCATTACAAAGTTCCACTGTTGAAGTCCTATAATTGCTCTGTCGAGAATACCGACTAATTTGTCAATCAAAATTTTTTCGTTTCATGACCTCTGTATCACTTTTTCACTATCGGAAGCGAATTATAAGACGAGGAATTGATTTAAATTTATCAAGATGGAGTCATCGAGATGAAATCTGCATTTAGTAAGGAATTATAAGCCAAATGAATAAAAACATCTGCCCTGAAGATAAGGATAGTGCTGACAGATCAACTTCCAATCATTGCGCGCTCCCGGCGTCCCCCCCCCCCCCCCCCGCCGAGCAGGCAGAATGGTTGAAATTGATAAACAGATTTCGGAATGGTTAGATAAACAAGGATTATGCCTTTATCATTTTTTTGCAGCAATTCCACTTTTTTTAATGGATCTACGAAACATACTTTCGCTTTGTTGATCCTTTACATATTAGTAATATATATCGAAATTCTTTTGACAATCAAAGTTCAAGCTTACTTTTATTAAATTGCTCTAACTCTGCAAAAAATGATAAGCTAGATCCATTCGAAGATTAAGGAACAACGCAATGTGCAACATTAATCAATTATAATTTTAGCTTAGCTTATACCGTCCGTTATACATTAACGTGCATGCGTAAATGTATTATGCGCATGCGCACCCATATTCATCCTTAAAGATCTTACCGCATGCGTCATGAGACAATGCGCAGAAAGTTTGTAGCTTTGAGGTCCATATGGTCATTCCGCATTATGGGTGTCCGAATTAACGACTTTTGACTGTATATATATATATAAATCCTTTTTTAATTGGGCAATATGATACATTTTAGCTTGTCGTTGCTTTTAACTGTATGTGTAAGCATATTTATTTCTGAATTTCTGTCTCGAGTATGTAAAAAGGCATATGTGTTTTTAAATATAATTCTGCTTTGTTATTGCATTCCCCCAACTGTACGTGTGTTGGGCATTTATATATATATTTTTCTAGGTAAAAACTTTGGCTGTTGGAGAACTCATTCATATTTTAATAATTTGTGTAAAGAGACAAGCGACATTAATGCAATGCATTCCCCCAACTGTACGTGTGTTGGGCATTTATATATATATTTTTCTAGGTAAAAACTTTGGCTGTTGGAGAACTCATCCTTATTTTAAAAATTTGTGTAAAGAGACAAGCGACATTAATGCAATGAGTGGTTATGGAAGATCTTCATCAAATTCCAGTGATAGACTATTTCATCGCTCAGAATCTGTGCCTCATGTGATGCAGAGACTCGTCGAAATGCTTGATCACATTGAAGAGCGTGTAGAGCTTCTCAGGGAGCATGCATCTGCCATGGAAAATGAACGTGAAGCATTGTTATCAGTTTTGTCAGCTATCAAGTCAAATAAAGATTTACAGTATGTGACTGAAGGTACATATTAAAATTTTGCTGTTTCTATAGATAAAGATGAGAAATTTGTTAAATTCTTATATCCATCATTATAACTTTTAAATAAGACATAGTTTCATTTTCTGCAGGGTTTTAATACTCTGTAAATTAGTTAAGAATTTAAATGATGAACTAAGTGCATTATTATGCACTATTGCATGTATAAGAGCTGTTAAACTGGTCATGACATATGTAAATATTATGATTTCACTTTTTTGACAAACAAATATGTAGAAAATTATTTGTCAGAGTATATTCTTTCCTTTCAAAACAGTATATTATCAAATATTAGAAAAAAAATAGACTAGTAAATTTATATAGTTTGATCTCCTGGTGGGTGCATAAACTAACATCAGACTCCTAACTAAATAAACAAATTATTGTTATATCAGAAAAGAACTACAAAGTGTTGAAAAGATTTGACATAAAATACTCTTGTTGTGCTTGGCAAGATCAACCATCACTTGTGGCAATGTAACTTAAGGTAGCAGTCAAATTCAAATTAAAATTTAATCCTGCAGTCAAAGATTACATAATTTAATTTAAAACTAAGTTGGCTCAGAACTGCTCACAAGTATAACAATTTAAATGATGGCAGCTATAATGCAAAGCCGAATAATTACAAAAATTTCAGCTTTAATACTGTCTGAATGATTTACATTCTGGTGAGGAAATGGAAAGGAGAAGTTATAGGAAAGGCTTAAATTATAAATATTTCATTAGTGCAAAATAATAGTAACAATACAAATTTTATATTTATGTGTTCTAAGAGCGAGCATTTAAAGTAGCCAAATGGTGAGAATTGCTGATTACAAGTAGTTTTATTCTAGGTTTGACCATAATGAAAGAATAAATTGAATGTATACACACTTTTTTCCAACCTTCTGTCCTATGCCACATGCATTATGATATTAATATGTTTATTGGTTTACCTCAGAATGTCCTCTGTTCATATGACTATATAAATTCCTGGGACAAAAGTCTTTCACTTCTATGACGTGATTGATCAAGCTGTTTTAGAAGTAATGATGTGTACCTTTTCTCATAAGTGGAAACTGTATGTTGTATAAAATTCAGTGTTATAAAATGGGAAATGAAGATAAATGTGGCTGTCAAAATAGTAATAGATTAGAACAGTTACCTGCTAGAAGTTTATACATTCTAAGCATTGCTTCAGGTAAAATCGGCAGGCCTCATGAAGTATTAGAAACTAACAAAATTTTTACAAAATGCACAAACAGATTGGTTCGAATATTGATTGTTTATTATTAAAAGAGAGTTCCCACAGAATTCCTTAGGAACCACTGGTGCAATCTCTGCTAATTTTTATGTTTCGATGGTATTCAGCGTTCACATTTACTGGAATAATACATAAGTATATGGGGAATTTAGTATCTAGAACTTAAAAAATTTAGTATCTAGATTTATAATTTCACTTGTCAAAATATGAAATTTAATATGTGCCTAAATTTCAAGCTGATAGAGGCAGATGGGACTATGAATTAGGTTGTATACTTGGTAGGAAATAGGTATACATGCATGTGTACTTTGGTATAAAAATAGGCAACTGAAATTTAGAGTATTAAACTAGCATGAAATTTTGCATGATTGAAAGATGAGCTACTGAAATGTTAGAATTGTAGAAAATGACATATGAGGAAGATGCCATGAAAATATCAGAGTGTATTTGAGGGACATAAAATGTTCTAAGATGTAAATAAAATATGACACCTTCAAAAGCAAACAGGTAGAAACAGCAATTATTGATGTTATTATTCACAAATTGCATGATATAATATGGACTGGCAAATGATATAAGATTGATACTGAGGCATTAGAAATTAATTGAACAAAAATTAGTTCATTTTAAAGAATTGGGCTTGAGAAGGTCTTCTTTGAAGTTTTTACTTCATGTACACAATAACTGTCTGTTTCTTAGGAGACATGTAAAAGAGGTTTTTTTTTTTTTTTTAAAGTTAGATCATCACCCTTTTTCAGTTGAGTTTTCTGTGACTGGATAAAAAGAATGCCAGGAATTGTTAAGTTTTATACTTTAACATAAATTTTGCACAAAAATGCCATGTGCTTGGAAGGAATTCAGTATAAGTCTATCTTTAAAGTGTAAAATTATTTAGGTGCAGAGTAGTTTCATCATTATAAACTAAATTTTTAAGATTCATATGTAATTCAGTTTTTGTATGTGTGTGGGTTAAATCGCATGTTTTTCTATAGCTTATGAACAGAAGCATGCATAGATGGATCACCGTAATCGTTTTTCTTCTTCACGTTATGTTTTGGCATTAAGAAAATTGAAAAAAAAATTTTGTCATGGTATTAAGTTGACAAACAACATTTTTGAGCTGACTGAAATGATTTTTGAACATACAGTAGTGCCTCCCAATAAGGGATGCGAACTGGGCCAGACATTTTGTCTCTGAAATAGAGGTGTCCTTTCTTCAGAGGCTACAAACTAAAAAAATGTAATTTAATTAGAAATTCAGTTTGGATAAATTATGTTTAAATAAGTAACTTAGTCAGAGGTGTTCATTTGAACTTTAACTTAAAGAAAAATGAAAATTATAAGTTAAAAAGGTTTAATTATTGCAAATATATTGAAAATAATCCATTGCATGAGCTTGTTGGAAAGTTGCACGTTTTTTTAAAACATTTGATGTTAAAAGTCACTGATCTTAAGTCCTTCACTGTCACCAGCTCTTATCATGAATTTTTTAATTATAAGGTGCATTTTAAGGCATCTGTAATTTTTTTATGTGACATTTTTTGTCTGGCTCTTCTTCGTCTTCCTGACTGCTTTCCAAACTAGTTTTGTTAAAGCTAACATAAACTACAGTTTAAATAAAAGTTTTTAATGTCTCCTTTAGTGTATTTGATACACAAGATTTCATAATATTCTTACATTTGAGCGCTGTCACTTATTTTAGCGAGTTAAAATAAATAATTTTCTTTATTAGTATTTCACTGAGGTCACTCAAAACTGGAATTTCAAAGCCTGCCTTCTTAAAATGGTGCTTAACACAATTTTATGACAGCTTGACAAAGAACATTTCAATGAACCATGAAGCAAGGCTGTAGTAGCAGTATTACAGGTTTTGTACCAAAAGCTGTTTTACTAATATTACCTTAGGTTGGGAGAACACCAATTTCGATTTTGCATTTAGGAAGGCTGGTGAAAGAAGCAAAGAGCAGTCAACCATTCTGAAATTGTGCTTTACATCATCCAAGACTTTTTATTCTATTTCCTATGAACTAATAAAATTTTCGAATGGATGCATTTCAAGCAACTTAATTTTTTTGCGTTTCCAAATGTAAGTGGCTGCTCAAACTCTCATTCCATGTATAATAAAATAGCACTGTGAGATGTTTACTTGAAGCTTTCACTTTTCTTCTTTGAAGCATTGAGTTTTATTAGAAAAATCTCAATAAAATAATCCAATTTCGTCTTCACTGTAGATGTTTTTGCTTCATATACTTCAAAAATTTCATTTACTTTTTTAATCCAGGCTGTTACATGTTGCATACCTACAGATTTTTATTCATTACAAATAGTCGTCAAAATAATGTTATGTTTTTACATAAATTCAAAATTTAACTAACCAACTATTAGACGCCTTGAAGCTCTGTAGTCTCAAACTTTCCGAAACTTCTTCTGCCTTTTCTTTCTAGAATATTCCACTTACAGGAATATTATTTGCTCTTACAGAACAAAACCAATTGAATGCTACTGTATCAATTTCATATGTTTCAGTTTTTCTAAATTTTACGATTTTGGAATGTTTATTTTGAATTAGTAATCCATAATATTTTTGTTTCTTCTCTGTCTTTTAGCATATGACTTGCTTGATTTTTACTTATTCCAATTTTTTGTCCTGTATCTCTCAAACTAATCTTTTCACATTGTGCTACATGAATTACAGGAACTTTTTGTTTTAATGTTAGTTTTGTCCTCTTTGAAGCCATGCTAGATAATGATGAAGAGTAACGTTAGGAATGGAGACAAATAAATAAGCAGAGATTCATCTAAATTAACATATATTGAAACACAAAATGGCGCAAGTACAGTAAATTTTACATGGTAAAGTAAAACAGTGACAACAACTAAAAAAATGTTGCCAAGAGAAAAATATAAAAAGCGTGTTGCCACACATGTTGAAAAATACAAATGGGAAATATTATCACAAATAAAAGTTATTTGCAACACTCCCCCTTGATTAAATTTCCCTCAGTCCTACAGAGAACCTTTGATTGAACGAGGCTTTCTTTTGCACACTCTTTGTGAACTGGAAGCCACATACGTAAAGTTTAACAACTTCTCTTAAACCTTTTCTCTCAAGAAAAAATGCCTGAGTTCAATATGTTTGTTACGCTCGGAAGTGACATGGTTTTTGGCTAAAGAAATGGCACCTTGATTATCAACAAATATGCTTTTTGGAAAGTTTAAAAAATGTTCTCCCACAATTTCTTTAAAAAAATTTGGAACCACAGTACTTCCTTGGCTGCGGTGCACATTGAGAGGTACTCAGCTTCAATTGTTGACATTGCAGTCGTCTGTTGTTTTTTACTGCTCCAGGAGACAGCTCCACCTGCTAGTAGCACACATAGCCACTAAATGAGCGTCTGTCAATCTTATCACCAACCCAATCAGAATCACAAAACACTTCCAAATTCTTTCCTGTCTTTTGGAAAGTCAGCTTTAATTCCTTGGTCTGTTTTAGGTAACGAAGGATATGTTGTACACCAGCCCAATGTTCCTTGCTTGGGCAATTATTGAATTGGCTCATGTAAGTAGTAGCAAAAGCTAAATCTGGCCTTGTTCCTCCTGCTAGGTACAAGAGCCCTCCAACAGCCTGCCTATATTTTAATGCTCCTTCATTCAACATGTTATCCTTAGTGGCTGTTATATATTTCATACCTGGATCTAATGGTGTTGATGCTCTTTTAGCATCTTGCATATTGGTTGTTTC